TCTGCACTCCTGTTGCTTTCACTTAGCCTAAAGATTGAAATTTAATGTAAGTTAATACTTTACAGTCTGGTTCTCTATGGACCTTCTGGAAAAGGGTAGTACACTATTACTATTTACAGTGATGGCAGCTATTCTCATCAGTGAAGTCTAAAGTGAATTAGCTGTTAAATCATTGTTTTGTTTCCCACATACAGTGTTTGTTAAGATAATTTCAGTTGGTTTTTAAAGATATACATAGGCAAGTATTCCAGCTGTCTCTGTGGGTTAATTGCAGAATTAATTAGATTGTATTGTCTTGAATAGCAATAAATGTGTATTGTTTATTTCTTAAATTCAGTTTAATTTTGATTTCTTTTTAATTCTGTAAAGTTTGCAACTCCTGTTGCTTAAAGTCTCTTCTGTGGAGTTTTACTATCTGCTGCTGGAACAGTGAATTGCTTGCTAGAAAGCAAATGACAATTTTGGCAAATGTTTCAGCTCTTCATAAAGTGCATTATTCTTTTCAATGAAATGGATTTTGTGTATGCTATTTCAGAATAGTGTACATGGAAAACTGTAAAGTAGATGTTACACAAACACTCAGCAGTGTTTTTGTGCTTATTGTCACACTCAGTGTTATTGTTCACACTTAAATTCTTTCTCACTCTAGATTCCTTGTGCAGCCTTCTGCCCAAGTCATGTATCAGTAAGAAAAGGGTGAATAATGCATTTTTAATTAATACATTCACATAAATTGAGAGGGTCAGTTGAAGGGTTGTTGATATCGTTGATGTGATTAATCTCACTGAAGATGTGAAAGCACTGGCAAAGGCTTTATTCTTTCTGAGATTGAGGAAGTTATTTTAGCTAACACCTTCTAGAGAAAGCAGATGCTGGGTCTGAGAACATAAAAGTGGTTGCTTAAGTAGATCCTTTTCTAGCCTGTGGTCTTACCCGTGTCAGGTGCCAACACAGAAGCATAGAAGAAAAGTTAGAGGAAATGTCAAGTGTTTACCCTGTGACATGTGCTCCCAGGCCAGCAGCTTAGCAAAGCTGTGACAAAGAGCTTCATCTGCACTGCTGTGTTTCTGAACTGTAACAATTTGTATCTTTTTAGTCAGTTGGCCATTGTCATCCAACACATCGTGTTGAAATGCATTCCACTTTTCAGTGGTGTGTTGTATGAAAAAGTACTTGCATCTGTTTATTTTAGACCTACCACTGAATAACTCCACTGGGTCCAGAGTTCTTGTGTTACAGTGCTTGTGTTAAAGTAGTAATTAAATCTCTGTTTGCCTCCTTTACGCACTACATAATTTTGGAGCTTTCTGCCATATCCCCACTTAGTTGTCTCTTTTTCAAGCTACTCTGTTTACTCGCTGCTCGTACAGAAGTTACTGTATTCTTCTGATAACCTGTGTTGCTTTTCTCTGTCTTGTCCTGTTCTACAGTATTTTTTCGGAGAGTGTAATCGAGACAATATGCATCCTTTAGCTTCTTCCAGTGACACGGACACTCTTGAGTCACTCTGCAATGTTTTCCTCTTCTTTCTCACAATCTTTTTTCCCTACCTTAATTCTTATTAATGTTCATATTTTAACTTCTCAAATACCATATACGATTTCTCAGAAAGCTCTTTTTAAAACTATTCTCTCCATGTAAAGGCTCTAGAAGGAACAGAATTTCAGTCACAGGCAAGTATGTATGAGTGGGTGTACTTGGAGATCAGCTTGCCACTCAATGAACAGAGCTTGGTATACAATCTTTTGGAGCTATTCAGGGTTATAAGGTGTACGTTTCCTCAGATTCAGTCCTGTCCAGAGAAGGGAGTTAAAAATCCATTGAAATATGCACAACCAGATTCTGATCTCATTTATACTTAGAAATCCTATGGAATTTGTAGATACGGCAAATAAAGATGTTAAATATGCTTAAGTGATATTTCAGTGTAGCCCATCATATCAGGTTTTTCATGTCTGAGACAAAACATATCATTTTGACTACAGCCTTAGGAAAGCATATCTTCTGTTTTAATCTAGTCAGAAGTCATCTATTCCATAGTAGCAAAGTAAACAGTTGTCATTTGAATTCCCCAGTATCCATTTAATGTAATGATGATCATCATCAATTGTTGCATATATTAGTCATTGTAATACAGTCTTATCAGAAGATAATTTAAACATTAACTTTTTAAATAGATGTCTATAGTTTTGTGTGTTTATTTGGATTTAACTTTTGTCAATAGTTGCATGAAGTTATCTGGTAGCAACATGATGAATTTCTTCTGCAATCATGCTGATAGTAGTACCTTCCATATTTATAAATGTAAAGGTATCTTGCTAGATACAGGTGCTAGTCTCATGGTTTTGACTGTAGGTTAAACCATAGGTGATATTTTAATCTGACAGAAACAGATTCAGTATTTTTATCAGTCAAAATATTGAGGTTCCGTAAACACTAAGACAAATGTAAGTGTTAAAGCAATCCTTTAACAGTGATTATAGATGTAAAAAATTGATGTATCTCATATTCTTCAGGGCAGACTTTCAATTCTTTGGTTGCTTTTCTTATAGTTTTCAGCTGTAGGAGTTTTTCCACTGATTCTTCTTTCCTTCATGGTTCCATTAATTTTTCCAAATCATTACAAATCGTATCAATTTACTGCTGACACAAGGCTTAAGAACAATGTACAGTACACCTGATTTGTAACTTGTACTGTATTGTAACAGTTTCAGAGCCCAGTGGTGAAGAATTAGTTACGATTGAACTGTTGTACCAGTGATTTTGCTAGAAGATTACTCCTGATCAAAGAAGCAATGTTTTATATTATATTCTGCTCACATTCTATTTTTCCTTTGGTTTAACTTTATTTCAAATTTATTTCATGCAAGGTTGAGTTAAATAGTTTGAGGTCATCTGAAAAGGTGAATGTTTGTAGGATTGAAAGACACAGTAAAATGTAAAACAAAATAATAGAAGTACACTCAAAAGTATAGTTAGATGTCCAAAGCTCAAGTAGACTGAGAGTTTGTTGACATCAACAGAAACAAATTCTTAAATTCTTACTTTCCGATGTAATCCCATTAATTCTGATTCAAGTCAACAAGTGTGGGACTGGAGGTTACTGGCAGAGAGAACCAGTTTCTGCTTCTTTACTTGTAGTGGAAAGCCTTCTTTGAGCTCCTGAGATGGCAAGAATTGGCATGCAAATATCTCAAATTACAAACATGTTACAATAAAGGTATCTGTAGTTTGCCTTGTTGAGTTGTATGCAGTTTATGACCAGTTCTAATCTCCACATGCACCTCTGAAGAAGTACCACCTTAAAAGGTTTTGCCAGCCTTCATAGGCAATTCTCTGCATAACTTAACGTTTCCTGTTTGTTAAATTGTATCATTTTTTTTCTCAAATATATCAGACTTATTTTGTGTTTTCAGTCTTATCCTCTAATTTCCACCCATAGTATGTGCAACTTTCTATTGATGAAACCAGTTTTTCTCCTACATGGTAGGAAATGGTAATATTTTACTACAAAGTCATGCTTTGTAGCTTGCTTATAGTAGTATGAAAATAAACTTCTACAAGAAAATGTCAAAATCTTTTCATTTCTAACAGTAGCAAATAGAATTTATTGTTTGCTGTGAGTGTGAAAAAGAAAAGAACATGATTGTACCTGACAAAGCTAAGCCTCTTTTAAAAGGGACTTGCTTCACAAAGTGACAGTGGTGCGTTTTTACTGAGTTTAGCTGGTAAAATAACTAAGCATTTTATAAACATCCTATACTTTGCGTATGAGGGGAAGCACTGGGTGTCGTATACTTCAGCGGTAGTATGGTCTTGGGCACTCTTGCCCACAATATTCTTGCATCTAGGTTAGGTTGTTGTCGTCTGGATGATTGGGTCAAACTAGATGGGTCAAAGTCTAGCTGGGTGATTGAACTGGACACACAGGCCAACAGACGCCTTACGAAATTCAGCGAGGTCAGATGTGGAGTCCTGTACGTGGAAAGGGGTAACTCTTGCAACAGTACAGGATGGGGGCTGACTGAGTGTCCGGGATCAGCTCTGCTGGAAGGAACCTGGACATCTTGGCAGACAGCAAGAAGAGCACAAGCCATCAGTGCTCCCTGACTGCCAAGGGCCAAAACCATCTGGGGCTGTACTGACAAGCTGGTCAAGTCATGAAAGTGGCTCAGCACTCTCTCAGCACTCTCTACTCAGCACTTGCTAGACCACGTTTGGAGCACTATGCCCTATTTTGGGGCCCCCTAATAAAGGAAAGATACTGGTCAAATTGGAGCTAGTTGAGCTGGGGACTACAGTGCATTTGGGCTGGAGTGTGAGCCCTGTCAGCAGTGACTGAGGGATCCTACTTTGAGAAAGAGGCTGGACTAGAGATCTGCTGACATCTCTTCCAATCTGAATAATCCTGTGATTCTGGTAAAAGTCATTACTGAGATGTTCAGTTTTTATACCCATGTCTCAATTTAAAATGAAATTATTTTATCTAACAAATGAGTCTTTCTCCTTTATGTTTTTTATTATTATCTTAGTAAAGATAAAGACCACTCTTTGCCAAAAATTACATTTTTACATACAAAATATGAAAATGTGCAAGCCTTTTATTCATGGTGTGGAACTACATGTAAGAACTAGGTTTCAGTAAGATAATAGCATTAAAAAGGAAGGAAAAACATTTTCTTTATGCCTAAAGCATCAGAAAGTATTAAAGTAATGCTGGCACATTGTTGTACCAGTTCTGGTACAGCCTGAACTAAGAACCTTAGTTGGTCAGCTTTTCTTCAGCACTGTGTTAAATAAGATCTCACTTCTCTTCTTCTAGGTGGAATGAAGGTGTGCCCAAACAGTGTCATCATTTATGATCTCAGTTTAGAGAGAAGGAGGAAACTTTTGCTTTTTCATAGTGAAAAATAAATGCATAATAGATAAAATAAGATTACAGGATTTATTCACATGAAGTTGTATGAGAGTTTCTTAATGTACTTTTTCTTTCTTTGCAGCTATTGGCTGACAAACAAAGTCCACATTAAACGACCCAGCACTGGTCTCCTGATGTATACACTTGCCACCAGATTTTGTGATGAAATTCACCTTTATGGATTTTGGCCATTCCCAAAGGATTTACATGGAAAACCAGTCAAGTATCATTATTATGATGATCTGAAGTATCGATACTTTTCTAATGCTAGTCCTCATAGGATGCCATTAGAGTTTAAAACGTTGTATGTATTACATAACAGAGGAGCACTTAAATTAACAACAGGGAAGTGTGTACAGCAATAAGGCACATGTGAAGTACAATAAGAAGTACAGAATACACACTTCATCATAAAGATGTTGTGGAATGGCAGTGGGATCCCAGTGAGGATATGTTTCAATACCCACTAAGCCATCGGGAAAAGAAATTTTATCAGAATTACATAACCAGCTATTTTACTGTAAAGTGCTATATAACTAAGCTGTCTTGACTGCAAGGGTTCAAGTAAGTGCCACTTTCACTAAGAACAAAGCTTGAATGTATACTCAGTAGTGTTTACAGGATTCAGTGGCATCATGAATTAAAGAAGAGAATTATAGCCTGCTTACTGCTGACTTGCCAATGTGGTCAGACAGCTCACAGAAGAAATCCCCAGTGGATGGAATATTTTTGTGAGCAAATCAACCAGGTCTTGACAGAAAATATCATGATGGAATCAAGTAGAGAAAGTGAAGTCCATAAGATCAAACAAATTGGTAAATGCCTTCAGTCAGAGGACTTTTTCTCATCTTGTATTATAACCTCTGGGTTTTTTTTTTCTTTTTTTCTTACTGCTGTTTGTTAGGTTTTGGTTTTGAGTATTGGAGCCCTTAAAGGATTTTGAGGATGTTATGAATAATTAAAAGTATATATCTTACAGAATTGTCTTAGGAAAACAGTTCATAAGAGTGGGAGGGTGGAGGAAAACATCAAATATTTTATCAACAACGGTTGATAAAATCCTGCTGTCACACAACTCTTAATGTCCCAGTGGTTTTTCTAGCTGCCACTGTCAATACCCACTACATGGAACCACTCAGAGGCCATTTTGATCCATTTTTAAAGAGAAGTTTTTCTGTTGGGTTCAGATTTGAAGACATATGAAAAGGTGCCCTTATTTTGGTACCAAAGATTACTCTTGTACATGTTTTTTGTTTTCCTTGAAGAAATAATGTAGATTTAGTGTGATGTTTCTTTGCTGCTGAAGGGAACGTATTCTTTATGTTATTTAAATTTTTGAATTAAACATCTCAAAGTAAGTAAAGCCTCTTTATTGACTTTGCATATAGAATTTCATTCTCAGAAAAAATTGCAAGAGTAAAGAAATTATTTCATACGTTTAAATACATATATATACAATTTTTATTCCTGATTGAAAGTAAAACACAAAGTCTAAAGAAACTCAGGTGATATTGGAACATATCTAAAGAAAATAAAAAGACCTAGCCAATTAAATGGAAAATAAAAGAACTGTAGATCAAACCGTTCTGTTAAAACTTACATTTCTAATGGTGTTGGATGATATCTCTCTCTAATATACCTCTTCTATATCAGCTTGATGTTCTGATATGTAATTGACTGAAATAACGCAGAGCTGCGTTATCTCACAGTAATTTTTCTGAGCATAAGTCTTATTGACAAAACTAAGAATTCTTTCACTCTCTTCTTAAAAAAAAAAAAAGAATAAGAAATTACAAGAGGGTAGGACAGCATGGATTGTCAGTACAGCATATACTAAGATACAAAACCTCTCTCCATATGGTATGTTTTAGCACTGATGGAGCAGATAAATAATGAACACCATGGTTCCATCATTTTCATGTCAGGCTAGGTTAAAGAGGAGGCATGCAGATACAATGTATGGGTATTTTCTTGTTGTATTTTCAGTTCTACATTGCTTTTCATCTCCAAATATGATATTTGTTGTATCTGTTGAATTTTGAACTACCTTGAGCAATTTTGCATGTAGCAGAACACTCACAAACATCTGCTAGCTAAGAGTGTGTATTTCATCATGCATGATGAGAAGTCTGTGATTATGCAAATTTAGTAGCTAAATCACTGCCTTGCAGACAGTTTTGCCAAAAGTGAATGGGAAATAGAAAGTAATTTTGCTGTATCTAAGACACAGTAGCATCTTTCCTTATTCACCAGTATTCAACAGTTTACTTTGGCTATATGCTAAGGTGTGGAATGTGATCCTAACATGATCACCACTGAAGCTGAGACATCACTAGGAACTAAAGAGCAATACAGACTAGAAAGTGTTTAATTTGTTGGTGGTAAGCCAGAGGGTATTATTTGTACACTGAGTATACTTGCAGTTTAAGACAAGGTTATTTCCTTGATGACAGGTGGGCTTATTCCTATTCTTTCTGTTAGGGTTTTGCTGCTGTTGATCTTCTAAAATATATTTCATATTCGTTGACAGAGTTTCAGATTGAGATAAAGAATTCACAGATGCCAGTCTTACAGAAGCTCAGAAAAGCATCTGTATAGCTTTGTCTTTTCCTCTGGGAGTGTCTTATGTTCTCTCTAGTGTCAGGCCATCAACAAAAAGGGAAGTCAAGTAGACTAAAATGCTAAGTGACAGGTGATTTTTTTCCCCTCAGGGAAGGTTTTTGTACACCAATTGATTATTTCTCTGAGAGCAAAGTAGACAGAAACACTCTAATTCCTATAGTAGTAAAAAAAAAATTAAATTATTTGTATAATTGAGTAAGTGAAAACAATGAAACATAAACGGGAAGATAGATGAGAAAGTTTGTCTTTAGAAGTCAGCAAATTCAAAAAAAATTTGCCTGAGCCTGTTTTGCAAGCTTCACATTTGATTCTCTGTGAGTGAAGTTAACTTTAGTACACAAGCCATGGAGTCTGAACTTTACCCTAGTACTAAATCTGATGTAACGGGATGATACAGGGCAAGGTTTCTCTGACTTGGTTTGGCACAAGACAGGACAGTAGCACCTACTTTGACGACAACAGTTTGCCCATACATTTTCAGAACTGGGCCTTAACCTCATCTCCTGCAGGCTTCTGGCACCATGAGCTGTGGTCACATGGCTCTCTACCGTCATCCATACTCACCCGTCTCATAGTACCTTCCCCTCAAACTGGCACCCAGGTATATCTCATTACCAAAATCATAGGACTCTTCCCTAACCTGTTGCCTGTCTTACCTGCCTCAGCCTTATCCTGAGTGGAAGTGTAATGTAGTGAGTGGTAGATTTCAAACCATCCTCTGACACAAGCAGCTGTTGTAGTCTTTCACTGTGCAGATTTTCACAAGCACTAGGAGTCACTTTACTCTGTTGCTCTTGAATAAGGTCTATGTCCATATGGAGCCCAAAGATTCTCGGGCTCACTGGTGTGCAATTTGTAGTGTTGCAAATTGTCTGTTTTGAGGTGGTTTGTGACCACTGGTTACTCAAGGGTGACCTGAGGTGAAACACACCCAGAGCCTTTCGTCTTAGATTACGTGGCCTTTGTTGTTAGCTCTCTCTCTGCTGGGAAGCTGTACCAGGAAACTCATTGCAGACAGCCTTTCTTACCTGTCCCTTATACCTCCTGGCTTTGTATTGCCTTGTGGCTCTTTGTACATTGCTATTGAGGCACCTCAGGTCCCGAAGGAAAAAAACCAGTTTACTTCCACTGTGTGACTCTTCGTCCCTATAGGTGACCTGGGACATATACTCAAAGGCTTAGCTACTGTATAGAGAATTTACAGTGGAATAAATTGCACTTCATGGTCCTTCACTGGAGTGAAGCTCAAGCTTCCATAGCTTTCTTGGATGGTTTCTGTTGTTTATGTACATTCACACTTCCTCTGCTGCCTATACCACAGGTCAGATAAAAAGGCTTTATTATAATTACTGCTCTTCTCATCCAGTACAGTCAACAACTAATATGAAGTAGATAGGATAAAAAGAAGATCCCTAATATTGTAATGATATCTGCTCTGGTGAGGAACAACTGAGGAACGCCCATTAGTTGAGTGTTCCTCAGATTTATCCTCACATCAGTCATATGAATTGCTAGCTATGGTTCTCAAATGTATGTTAAAAATAAGAACTAGGAGAACATCAGGACAACAGACTGTACGTTTTTCCAAATCTTATGGCAGCTTTACATTGAACAACTTGACTTCATTCAGATAGATTTGTTGTAAATTTTTTATTAATGTACATGTTAATGTTTCTGTGGCAAAGAGTTTTTCATATTTCATAAAAATAATAGATACATATATTTCATTTTTAAGTTTTCAGCTTTGGGAGAATTCTCTTTCCTACAGCGCCGAGTCACTCTCCAGATGCAAAATCTACTGAACCTTTCAAACCTTGGCTGGTTTACACAATCTGATATGTAATAAAGACTGTAACATTCTTTTGTTAAACAATATAATCAACATGTGCTTGAGGTCAGCACCTTTGCTCTAATTGACTGCAATTTGAAGAAAAATAGGTGTGGATTCAGTACCTTTTTTTAGTGTTTGATCTAGCAGAGTGCTGAGCACTCTTTACAGTGACTTTCCTGGGAGAGACATGGCCAGGATTTAGATGGGGATCTAGATTAGCATATTTCAGGATGCAACTCTGAAATTGCAC